TGTAAAACATTTTGACTTTGCTATGAGTAATAAATGCCTTGTAAATGTAATGATGCACTTATAGTATTATTGTTGAATTGTAACATTTTGAGTAGAAGAAAGATAGCCACAGTCCCTACACATAGGAGGATAGTCAGTATTACAAAGCTTTATGTTTGTTCATATGACAAAGATTTTCAGTAGGGATGCACCGATACCAAGTACAGTACTCGGTACAAGTACAGATACTTTTCAAGCTCCAAGACTAGACTAGAGAAAAATTCAAAATTTAGGAGGCAGCTGTCACTTGTAAGGAGCACACGGAGCTCCTGGGGTTTGTACATCTCTGTTTTAATGTACGATTTTGTTTTTATAAATATAAAGAAAGGAATGCTCCGATACCAGTTTTGCGAGTACAAGTACTGGTACTTGCCGAGTACTTACAAGTACGAAAGTATGAGTACTGATACATTTTTGTGTATTGTCATGTGACAGTTTTTCTAAAACAATATCGACTAATTATTTCAGGACAGTGATGGAGCGCCAGAGCTGCAACCTGGACATTTAGTAACTTGGATGGGAGGAAGAATGAATGAACTACAAGTGCAGTGACAAGAACTGCAAGTCCCTCTGCTGCGGTGGCTGTGATGGACTTCCTCCATTCAAACTCCTGTCGAAGTATCTGTGAATGGAAGATGTGGCTGTGTGGCAACGCACATCTGTGCCAAATTAAAAAGCACAACACAAGCCTGCGGGGAGAAGAACTCAGCGATTGAAGTGGGGACGGGAGGGCTATAGGGATGTTTGCGAAGTGACCATGTTTCATGTTACACCCTGAGTAGGGGTATAACATGAATCATGGCCAGAAAAGTAAATTTAGCCTTTAACTGCTTGAAGACCAGGTGTTTAGATCCCCTACCTGGACAGGCCATTTAGCCCAGTTACATCCAAGAAGCTCCAGTATACACGCCCAGTTACATCCAAGAAGCTCCCGACAGGCCGTGTATACACAGCGGCTGGCCGGGAGGTAGTTAAAGAAGGATTTATGGTTTCCACTAGTTTATAAACAGTGCAGGTAACAACTTTTCCTTTCTGCAGCTAGAAATTTTAACCTTACTGGCCTATTAAAATGCCTAACCCCCTCCACTGACTGGGTTGATAATGCAGGGTGTGCTCAACCAGAATGACAGCAGCAATATCATTGTTTTGCATACTTCAGGTTTACAAAGGGGATGATCATACCACACT